ATGTAATGTATAGCATAAGGAATATAGTCAAAATATTGTAACAACTTGGTATGGTGATAGCTGGTACCTAGAATTATCATGTATATAAATGTTCAATTACTGTGTTGTACACCTGAAACTAATGTAATACTGTGTGTCAACTACCCTTCAATAAAAAATAATTATCTAAAAAAAAAAAGAAATAGCAGGCAGGAGACCAGAAAAGCCTTCTCAGTAGAGCTAGCCTCGAGGAGGAAAGCACTCACCACTCTGGGAAAACTAAAAAGGTCTACGTGGTTCCTTCTCTAAAGACTAGAAATCTTCAACCCTTGGGGAAAGTGCAGCAGACATTGTCACTCCCAAGGCAGTGGGGCAGAGTGAAAGAAAAATGCAACCACGCTATCACCTAGGAAAGAAGCAGGAAATTCTGGTCCAGCCTGCAGAAGGGACTGTGGCTGGGGGAGGAGCACGATCACCGAGAATAATACACATATACACCGAGGCCCAGGAAAACAAAGTCTGCCTAAGACTGAGGCTGAACCAAGACAACAGAGAAACCCTCTGCTCCCCTCCGCTAGGTTAGCAAGCACCCAGCCACACAACTGTGGCAGACTGTGCCTTGAAGCACAAGTGCAGAAAGAAAACCTGAAGTAGAGGATGAAACATAAACACTGAGGAAAAACTCTCCCTTCAGCAAAGCAACCCTAAGTGCAAGGAAACACCAGAGGAATTTGAAGCCATTGGTGCACCTAAGGTAACCATAACAACAACAAAATCTAAACCCAGCTCTTTCCTAACTGACTCCAACTCCCATACTATCAGCCTAGCAAGAGAAGGGGCCTATTCATTTCCCAGAATAAATACTATGTACAGGTCTCTACTGTTCTATATGCTACATCTGACAATCAATAACAAATTACAAGCAACACTAAAAAGCACAAAAAACAACACTCTATCATGAGTCAAAATTATCAAAGGAAAAGACCCAGATATTGGAATTATCAGATAGAGAATTCAAAATCACTCTGATTAATATGTTAAAGGATCTAATGGAAAAGTTGGACAACATGCAGGACAGATGTGAAATATCAGCAGGGTGATAAATACCATAAAAGTCAAGATTGGGAAAAGTGAAGAAAATAGAACAGGGCCTCCAAGAGCTATAGGACAATATCAAATGCCCTGAGGTAAATATAAAAAAAGTACATTTTGGGGCTTATTTCTAATCGTTTAGCCTATAATTGATTACCTAAAGAAAAATAGTAGCAATGCATTGTGGATTTATAGCATATGTGAAAGTAAAATGTATGACAACAACAGCATGAAGACAGGAAGAAAGAACTGGGAGTTACATGGTTGTAAGGTTCTTACATGTATAATGATGTAATATTATTTCAAGTAGACTGTGATTCATTAAAGATGTACATTGTAAAACTAGGGCAACCACTAAAAAAATTAAAAGAAGAGGTATAAATAATAAACCAACAATGGAGATAAAACAGATCATAAAAAATACTCAATCCAAGAGTAGGCAGAAAATAGAAGCAAAGAACATGGAATAGAAAACAGAAAACAAATACCAAAATGACAGATTTTAATCCAATCATAACAATAATAACATGAAATATAAATGATCTAAACATATCAGTTAAAAGGCAGATTTTGAGAGATAAAAATGCAAAACCCAAAATGCAATCTACAAGAAACCCACTTTAAATATAAACATGTAAGTGGGATACAGGTTAAAAAGGTGGGAAAAAATAAATCATGCCAACACTAATCAAAATAAAGGTGGAATAGCTCTATTATTGACATCAGACAAAAGAGACTTCAGAGTAAGAAATATTGCTAGGGATAAAGGGGAACCTTACCTAATAATAAAGAGATCAATTCAAGCAGACATTCTAAATGTGTATTTCCTCCAACCACAAAGCTTCAAAACCCCTGAAACTAAAACTGATACATCTGAAAGGAGAAATACACAAATGCATGATTATAGTTAAGACTTCAACACACATCTTTCAGTCATCAGTCAGCAAGGATCTAGAACCTGAAAATGGAACATCCCAAACATATCTTGTCAGGAATTATGTGAATTTTGAGGAAAAACAAAAATTGGCCCCTACAATAGGACTTACCTCCATGCAGGAGATAGGGGCAGATCATCCGTGGGAGACAGCTTTCCAACCGGGAAAAACTCTGCTTTGGCTCCTCAAGTCTCACAACAGAGACAATTTCCATTAAATCATTCAGTGCACCCCAGAAGTTCCTGTTTCAAAACACTAGTGCTAAATGTCACTCATAAGGACACAATGCAGCTTTCTAACAAGTTTCCATCCCATCTTCCAAGCTCCTGCCTGCAGCAGATAAGAAAGGAATTCACCAGACCACTAAAATTTCTCCATGAAACTATCACATGCAATTTTCTGGAAAAAAAATTAATGGAAACTTCAAAGTTCAATTACAAAGAACATTTTACAAGCTGGATTTAAAAGTCTTTTATAATTGATTATTATAGGAAAAAAAATGCTGTTGAGAAATATACCAAAATCTTAACTGTAGTGAAAACACACAGGACCTTTTCTACTTCTCTGAGTTCTATAAATTTTCCACAATGAGTATGCATTAATTTTTTAATGATTACATTTAAAAATGTATATATTTATTGCATTCCTATCAAATAATGAAAATGTTGTGACTTTCCCTGTTTGTCTTTTTACCTAGGACATCAGAAAAGTCAAGATCAAATTCAGCTCCCACTCACAGTGAACAGACGCCCTTGCTTTTAACAGTATTTGATATCTAGTCTTTTCCATGGCTTTGGTTTTCTATTTCTTTTTAACAAGCTCATTGTAAATCTTTAATTATAAACCATCATAATTACTTTTTACAAAAAGGTATAATAAATACATAACTTATATATAATCAATTATAGTGTTCCATAATTGTTAATTATTTGTGGGCCATTCTCCTTACTAGAATCTGTTGACAGTGTACACAAATAACTAAAACTCTTTACAAATCACAAAGGTGCAAGAAAGCTAATGTAGAACAGGGCAATAATATTCACCTGTGAGGAAATAAGAAAACATCACACTTTCATAAGCCACCTCATCATAAATAGTCAGGACAGAAGAAAAATGATGTCTTCCACAGCGAGGCCTAATTCCAGTTGTCTGTCTTGGCCATTTAATCTCTGCAACAAAGAGTAAGAGGCAGCTTATCAAAAGTGAATCTAATAAGAAGCAGGACACTGTTTGCCTTTGTAAAATCAGTTTTACATGACTGGCAGGTAAGCACTCAATTACTGAGAAGTTCCAGCACACCCACAGCAGGGTGTAACTGAAGCAACCAGCCCAAACATATCTTAGAGAACTAGCCTGGTCATCTCAAGTCATGCATGTCTAGACGGCGGTTGTCCCCTGAGTCCAGGTCCTGTGAATGCTGTTTGCGTCACTTTTATAGAAACGTATCCACATTCTGGAGACTACAGCAGGGAGCAGGGAGGACAGAGGTCAGGAAATTTCCTATACCAAGAAGGGCTAGGGAGGTCAGTCAAAACTGGCATTTACTTTTGGGCCACAATAAAAATATGTCCATAGTCAGAGAAGTAGGAATATAGGAGAAAATCGAGCTTGTGGTTTCCCACATATTTGTCAGGGAAGTTAAATCAAATACAAAAACTTGAATGACAGTCTGAGACCAAAGATGGAAAACAAAAATGCTGGTAGGCAGCCTGGGCAATTTCCTAAAGGGCCTCACAGCAAGCCAAGAGAGGTGAAAATGATCCCAGGAAGCAGTCGTAGGCTTTTAAAAAGTCTGTTCCTTCCAGATCTTCAAATCAGGGAGCAGCTAGCTCTCAGAGATAAGCACCAGATGGCTGAGCATTCTGCTACCACGGTGCTAGTTGCTGGCAGTGCTTTTTTCCCCTGTCAAGGGCAGAGACCGAATTTTTTTTAACTGTGTCACCAAGCACACAGCCCAGTGCACACAAGAGGTACTCAAAAACATCTGTTAAATTAAATATTGATTCCTATTTATACTGACCATTACACAATGTGGTGCCCAGACTGTTTGCTTAGTACTTAGAGAAGAATTCTCAGAATGTTTCACAAATATCTCCTTCCATTTATGACATGAGATGAACAAGCGAGATGACACGGTAGCACACCATTCCCGAGCTCCAGTGGGCCGGCACTCTGAGCCCTGACTCGACTATCTCTAAGGATCCCCAGGAAGCTCTGCAACCAGTTTCACATCCTTGGAGCCCTGTACACTCAGTCCTCACCTTCAGAATCTCTGTAAGTTTGACCCCACACAGCAAAGGTTCCCTTTTTACCGTCCAAGACGCACTTTGAGTAACTCACACAGTCTCTCACACATTCAGTGTCACACTCGGGGCGGCTCTCACCACAGCCTCCCTCTCAAGCTCTCCCCCACTCCCGGCGTCGGCCACACACTCGAGCCACCCTCGCATTCAGGGCCTCTCTCTCTCAAAGACACATGGGGCGTCTAAAAGCATCAGCGCCACCCTCACACTCAGGGTCTTGCACACTCACAGAATCACCCTTACATTCAGGGGTTCACACACACAATCTCCTTTCTGTCCAGGATGTCTGTCTGTCTGTCTCTCTCTCTCTCTCACATACACACACACATGCAATTTCCCTCACAGGAAATCTCTCCCATACTCTCAGCATCACACACACACACACACACACACACACACACACACACACACACACTCGGAGACATCCTCACACTCAGGGTCTTGCACACTCGCAGTCACCCTCAGATTCAGGGTGTCTCTCTCTCTCTCTCTCACACACACACACACACACACACACACACACACACAAAGGCGCCTTTCCCACACGCTCAGTCTTGCACTCAGGATTACCCCACACTCCTGGGGTCACACTCACGCTCGAGGTCTTTCTTCCACGCACGGCGTCACCCCCTGGCACGCTCTCTCCGCGGCGTCTCTCACGTGCCGCCGGCCCGCCTGCCCCGCGCCCCGTTCCCGGCCCGCATCCCGCGGCGGCGCGGAGAGCTCGGCCCCACAGCACGCGGCCCCGGCCCGCTGCCCCCGCGCGCCCGCCCGCGGCCCATTACCTCGCGGGGTCAGGCGCCGCCAGGATGCTGAGTCGCGCTGCCGCCACGGCCGCCGCGGCTGCTCAGGCCCCGCCCCCGCCACGTCACCCGCCGCCGGATCGCGACAGTGCGCGCGGCGTCGGGACAGGGCGCCAGGCTCAGCGCGGGGCCCGTGGTGGCGGCGCTTCCGGGCCCCAGGAGCCGCCGCGGCCTCCGCCATCCGGCGGCCGCGCTCAGGCGCACAAGCCTGCGATCCCAGCCTCCGCGTGCCCTTGGCGGCCAGACCTGAGGCGGGCCTCGCCGGGGCCGCGCGGGCCGTGACCTGGGCCCAGCCACCCTTGCCGAATGGACGGCCACTCTTCGACCCCTTACGGAGTCACGCGGGGCTTCCGAGGGACTCAATACGGGGACAGTGCCGCGGGGAGCTCTAAATGGCCCCCACACCCTGTTCCTGTGTCCCTTGGCCTGGGTCCTACACCCAGAGGGTCCCCCATGCAGCTCAAACGGAGCTGTAAACAGCCTCCATGCCGGGTTCCCAGCCAGCCCGTCCACCTGGAGACCCTAGGAAGATGCATTCCCAGCCAGGACTTGTCTTCCCACGCCCGCAGCCCAGACCACTACATATCCATAGGCCCCTACTGACACACGGACATGGCCAGCTTCTGTAGCCAACAGGCCTCACCGGTGCTCAGGCTTGAGGACATTTTTCGGTCCCCATCTTGCTTCATGCTGCTGACTTCCCCCTTGGGGGAGATGCACCCTCCTGTCTTCCTATCTCTCTGGTTGCTCCTCTTCTGTCTCCTTCTAAGGCTCCTTTTCCTCTAGTAGCTCTGGGGCTCTGTCTAAGGCCAACTGAACTTTCAAGCAGCTGAGCCCTCCCCCTTAGCTTCCTGTCCACACCCCAAGCCATGACTTTCTTCTGGGGGTCATTGCCCCAGAAACGTGTTCACAACTGCACATCCTCTGGGTCCACACCCAATGGCCACACCCAAACCCCAGTTCCCTGCCACCCAGGCACTCAGCCAGAGATGGGCATCATCCTGGATCCCCCAGCCCCTGCGTCTCTCCATCCATCATGGCCTCCCAATCCTTGTCTTGCTCCCTCTAACCCATCTCTATAGGGTAGCGGGTGCTCCTAAACTACAGATTGGAATGACTTTGTATCTCCTCTGCTTAAAAACCCTTCTGTCCTCCTCCATATAGACCTGTGATGATGACCCTGGAAGAGCCCTTGCTGGTGCTTTCCTCCTCATGCTCTCTGCTTGGAAAACCTTCTCTAAGGGCGAATGAGTCTGTATGTAATTGCAGTCATTAGTCTGACTCTTTGTCCCCTGGATCAGTTCCTTCTGCCTCCCTGGCTGGGCAGAGGAAAGGCTCTGGTCACTTGTGACACTCAGTGGCAGCCAGTCCCTTGTGCTTCCAACAGCCACATACACGACCTGCCGGCTCTAGACCTGGCTTTGCTGTCTTAGACCCAGTTACAGCAGCCTGCCAGCTGAAAGCCCACTATGCACCAAGCACTGAATCAGATGCCCTCTAACAGCATCAGTGCTCCTCAAAACAACCTGCAGGGTATGGTTTTTCATCCCCATTCTTCAGACAAGCAAACTGAGGCTCAGGGAGGTCAAGAGACTCCCCAGGCTGCTCACCTGAAGCTGGTAGAGCATATCTGAACCCATCTGCTGATCCTGAAGCCTGCTCTTATCCTATGGCCTCTCTCTGAAGCTGTGAAATTGAGAGTAGAGTGGCAGTGGGGCTGAAATGGATGAGTAGGTGGCTGTAAGGCCACCACGAGAGGTTGCGTGGGTAGATGGCTGTCAGGGCAGAGCTGGGAGTCAGGCTGAGCAGGGTCTGGGATGAGGGTTTGCTCCCTTTCATGGTGTCATCCTTTTACCAAGGCCAGTGATGCAGCTGGACCTGTGTATCTCCAATCATCCTCACCCTCTCTGAGGCATCCCTTCTTGGGATTTGCCCAATACAGCCACAGTGAGAGGGTTCAGAGCGCCCTCTAGTGGCCCAGGGTGTAGTACGGAAACCTGAAGTCCAGGCTGGCCCAGTTTTCTGTGGAGGAGGCAGGAACTGGGACTCCTACCACTCACACTGGCCCCTGGCTCTGGGCCACAGATTTCAGGCCTGGACCCCATCCTTACGCATGGTTCCCTGTCTCAGACTCTGTCTCTCTGTCTTTGTCCATTTTCATTTGGTCCCCAGTCTCAGTCCATCTCTGGCCATCCTGGTCTCTGGGCATACCAATCTCAGCCTACCCTCTCTTCTTCCCTCAGTTTCACTCTGTCCCCAAAGAGGGACAGATGGTGGGCAGATGAGTTGAAAAAACAAAGTAGAGGGTGGTTTCCTAAAAAAAACACTAGGTTCAGTGGGTTCTGGGACCTGCAAGCCGAGAGGACAGCAGGCTGGGAAGGGGAGTCCAGTCAGGGTGACCTGCAGGATTGTCCTCGGCCCCAAGCTCTAGGGTGGCATGTGGGGCCTGTTGACCAGGCAGAAGCAGGGGGAGGGCAGGAGCCACATTCCAACAGGAATGTTTCAGGCTTTTAGTCCCACGAGGGGAATAGGAGAAGAGGCAGGAGGACAAAGACCTAAGAGGTGCACAGGAGGCACATTTTGGTGCTGTGAGAACCCATCAAGACCCCAGGAAAGGTCTAGCCCCTGATTACCTGCCTCTCTAGCCCCTCGCCCCTGCCACTACTCTCCTCCTCTCATGCTCAGCACAGAGTTTAAACCAGAGCACTTTACAGCATCCAGAATATTTTTATTGCCAGAATCAAGATGATCTGCTCAGAGCCCCATGTGGGGCCCACGATTCAGAAACAAAGGGAAAGACAAATCCTGGGCATGTATGCAACTGAGAAAATCCAACTCCACAGAAACCCTGTAGGAGAGCAACACAATCCAGCCTGACTATGGCTTTGGGGGCCCACCCTAGAGACCAGATACAAATATTGGCCTATAGCCATGACCCACTTAAAAACCACTATCACCAAAGCAGATCCAGATTCTCCATCCCTACTATCACAGGCAGACCCATGCATCATCTGTGAGGTGGACAGAAAATCCCAGGGTGCCCCAAGGCACCTGACTCTCTCAGTGGCCCACTGAAGCTTCTGGGTCAGTCCCTGCAGACTGAACACCACTGAGCTGCCTGGTGGGGATAGGTGCTGGGCAGGGCTGGCTGGAACCCCATCTGCTCTCAGCCCTGTGTCAGCCCACTTGGGCACTACAGGGACCCTAGGGGAAGGTAGCAATGTGGTGGTGGGGTTAGCAAGAAGGCAGTCAGGGCAGCTCTGAGGAACTCAATTCTTTGAGTTCTCTTTCTTCATAAGTACCTAAAAGGCCCTGGCATGGGACCCTGGCCTCATCCTTGAACTAGAGACCCAAGGCAAAGGGAGCCAGCATCATACTGTAGGCAAGAGCCCAACCAATGGGATCAGGGCTCCTGGGACATAGCCCCTAGAACTGGGGAACCAACTGCTGCCCAATCCTGAGTTAGGTTGTTCTTGGAGGTGAAGGAGAACACAACAACCCACCCCTGCCTGCAGGGAGAACCAGGCAGCCCTAAAAAGTCAGAGCCAGGCTGTTGAGCGGCTAGGCCACAACAAAGCCAGCAATTCCAGCCACACATACCCAGCAGCAGGCCTGCCTGTGGCCAGTGTGTGGGAAGGATCCTCTAGGGACCAAGAGCCCATCCCTGGGGCCTTTGGAGGCAGGGACCAAAGCTCAGAAATATCCCTCACAAGACAGGCTGAGGGGCCGAGGCCTGATGCACATGTATGGAAAGGTCACAGGGGTAGAAGAACACATGACCCCTGAGTTGGGGACTGGGGCAAGGTATCAGCCAACCTGCCTGTTGAGCCTGTCCTGAGGTGACAACAGTTGAACCAGCACCAGCACTCTTTCCATTAAAGGTCCCTCAAGTGAGTCTAGACTATTTCTTCCTTCCTCACTCCCACAGAGGAAGGGTAAGACACAGCACTTCCCCACGGCAGGCATTTCACAACCCAAGACCCATGGCCTTAGATGGTCAGCCTCAGACTGCTAAGCTCACGGGCCATGATAGCCCCGGAGGCCAAGAGAAGCAGCTGTGGCCAAGCCATCCCACAGCCCTGCCTCACACGGGTATCAGGACCCAAGGAGCACACTTTTCAGATAGGCCAGAGTAGCGGGGTCGGCCAGCAGCTCGATGTGCTCCCTGCCTGGCAGTTCAAACAATGACACTTGGTGCTCCTGGAGGCCTTGCCAGGTGTGGCACAGCAGGACGCTCTCTATGTTCACAGTGCCATCACCATTGCCATAGTAGATCTTAGGATCGTGATCTGGGAAGTTCTCATAGTAGAAGTAATTTGGTGTGGGGACATCAGTGCCGTAGAGGCAGTGCACCTGCACACCAGGTGGCACCATGGGTTTAACCAGCTCCTCCGTGTCCTGCCGCATGAGCCAGCCATCTTCGAAGCTAATGTCCTGGAAGAACCGGCGATAGTCCTGCAGCGTGTAGTTGGCTGTGGGTGTGCGCACAAAGACCTTTTCGGGTGACCAGGTATAGTTGTAGGGCAGCAGCCAGGTGGTGGAGACAGCAGACCGCTGCTGCTCTCGGATCTTCAGACGCCTGATGACAGGGATCCGGTTGTTGTCCCCTGCAGGGAGAGGGCTCTGGTCATCTGTGCTCAGGAATGCAGGCTGGCTGGGTGGCTTGTCGCCACCAGGCCCCGTGCCGGGCCCCAGCCACTGGCTCAGCAACTCTACGCTGTTATCATCAGGCTAACTCCTATGTTTCCTTTTATTTTTGCTCTATCTGGGAAGCATACAACCAAAACTTTATTCTTCCATCTTGCATTTTGTCACCACGGACTTCGGCAGCACACGACCACAGGGTGATCTAGTCTATAAACAGTACCTTCCTCTGAGAACTTATCACCAGGCCTGTGGTGATGACCTGCTGAAGATGAATCAGCAGCCCAGAGACATGTCCTCTTTCTCTTTTATTACACTGAGCTATGTGAACATTTTTCTTTCCCTAGGCTCTGACCTACAGCCAGCTAGCCCTGGTCTCATCCCACCCACCTGCCTGTCACTGACCTGGGCAGGCAGCCTGCAGGAGACAGGGCAGGAGGAAAGGCTGCAGACACAGGGAGGGTCCTTCTCACATCGGAACACCAGCAACACTCACCACAGCCAGTGAGACCTCCAGGGGGTGAACTAGAACTTGGCAACAGGGGCCCTCTGACGTGTTCGGGTCCCATGGTTACCCCTCACC